ATGCTGGCTGGCCGGAGAGTGGGATAAAGCAACATGAGACAGAACAAGGAAAAGTCACCTACAGGCTTTGGTGACCACTTAGCCACTGAGCTGCCCAGTGGGGTCCTGATACCTCTCTGTGTCCAGCAGGGCTGCTAAGCGCATATATCCCTTACCCCAGCCCACTGGCCAGGGCAGCCCGCCTGCCCACTCCCCCACTCTCCCAGCCCCTCACCCTGGTGATTGCATTAAGCAATCTCCATTATCACAAATGCCTGGCATTTTTGCCTGGTAATTACAGCTCCCACAGCCCTGGGAGGATTAGGGCATGATTAGGGAGTAAGGAAGACTGGTAGGTGGAGAGAAATACCTGCAAAGACTTGGCAGCCTAATCCCCTCGAGCAATTTTTAGGATCCTCTGTGTGCACAGTAGCCATGTAAGGATCCTCCTGAGTGACTGCAGTGGTGAAGGCCATTGGCCACCTTTTCCTTGCATGGACCCTCACCTGTCCCCCTGCACTGCCCTCTGGGGCAGACACAGTAGCCCCTTGATCCCTCCCTGCCTCTGTCCCATCCCCTTTCCCTGCAAGAAGAGAGGTCTAGAGCACAGCTCAAAGCAGTTCTCCCTCAGGGAAAACCACCCACCGGCCCTTGCCTGCTCTCTGCCTCTGCTCACGGTTCTTCCAGCCTCCCATTCTCTGCTCCCCCAGAATAGGATATGCAGATATCGAGAGCCTAGATGGTCTCTCCACTCTCATGATCTCTCTCAGCTGTCCTTCAAGGCCTAGATTAAATGCTACTTCCTCCAAGGAGACTCTCCCACCCCCGTTGGAAAGACTGACAGCAAAGGAGAGGGACATGCCAGTTCCTTTTCTATGATTAACTCCCTTTATCCCCGTTGTAACCATGGGAGGTTGCAATTCCTCAGATGAGACAGTTGAGACCCGAAAGCAAGTGATCAAGGAAACACGGGTGGGAACAGTGGGTCCGGCTAACCTTGGGCCCTCTGATCCATGCAGCTCCTTCCTTGTTTGCATACAAAGTGTGCTTCTTGCGTGTCCCTCTGGGCTTTGGGAAAATCATGAGCTCTAGAGTAGAGCTCTTCAAATTTGAACTCTGACTTAACTGATTTCATTCAAATGCTGATTGTGATTCAGTAGGTTTTAGGTGGAGCCTGAGATTCAGCCTAAGAAGCTCTGAGATGCTGCTGGTCTAAGGACTACACTGAGTAGTGAAATTGGACTCCAGAGCAGGGCGGGAAGGTCCTGTGTTGCCGTCACATCCTCAGGAGAGCCGGGCCCGGGTCAGCTGGTTCCTTTCACTCACGGCCCTTAGAAGGGGCCCGCTTTCCAGAGCTGGGCCTTTGGAGACTGGCTCCTGGCCCTGATTCTGTTTTCCCCTGGGGCTCAGACATGATAACTGGGGAACAGTCAGGTGGAGTCTGAAAGCACCCCTGTTTTAGGGCACCCCCAACCTCTGGCCTAGCTCTGACCCCCAGGAATGCCTGCAGTCTTTCTGGAAACTACTTGTGTCCCCTTGCTGCCACTGTGAGGAACTCACAGAGAACAGTCAAATGGCCTCTCGCTGCTGTCCTGGCCAAGAGCAGAGGTGGGGATGACATTGGGATGGCAGGTGAAGAGCCTATAGCTGGTGGAGGTGCCTTTGGAGAGAAGGGATGAAAGCCTGTCCCCTCCCCCAGCCATGGGGACAAGAGAGGCTCCATCTCTTCACCTATCTTCAAGGGAGGTGTCAAGGAAACAGTTTACAAGCTCATGTGGCCCTGGAATGTGAGACAAGCTTACAGGAAGGGTGGTTGACTCCACCTGAGAAAGACTGCGGTAAAAAACTGTTCCTGATGAGGCCTAGCACACAGACAGGTGGAGTGGGAAGGTCTTACCTCTACCGGAGTGCAGAGGTCATAGGTGTGGTAGTGCTTTGCGTGATTTAAATGTGGATCTCACAGAAGGAAGACCTTGGATGGGTGTCCACCAAGGAGGCGGAGGGGAAGTTGGCCCAGCAGAAGGGCGGGGAACTTCCATAAGCAACCAGCATGTAGAAGACGATCAATCCCAACTCAAGAGAGATCCCTAACATGGGAGGTCTCCTCATCAAAGGAGAGCCAGCCTTGGATGTGTCTCTCAGAGGGCACAGAGCAGCTCCCATACAGCTGCACCTCACAGGTAAGATCTTTGTGCTCCACACCTCCTACTTGGAGAAGTCTCAGATGAAAAGGGGAAACCAAGCTGGCCATAACTTCCTCTACCACAGGGCCACCACAGGGGGTGGAGAACTTAACACAATGTGAGCTTGGAGTTCAGTGGCCATACACTCCCTTCCTACTGCTCATAATACCAGGTGAACATCAATGGATTGAGCACACTGCTTTATGCAGAGACTGAGACATGGGCAAGAGAAAGAGGCAGCTCAATGGGAAGTAAGGAGACAGAATAAAGCTGATTTCAACAGAAATGCTGACAGCCTACCGAGGTCTGCTTGTTCTACAAACTGAGCCTGTGCATGTGGGGCGCAGAGATGGGGTAGCTTGGCCCACCCCTGGCCCCTGGGGACACAACAAACTGTAAGACACAGCTCTTAGGCATTTTTGAGGGAAGCTGGGGTGACATCATTCCAAGTTCAAGACCATAAAAGAGGCTGTGGATCCCTAACACAAAAGATTTAAAAATAATAAGCAACTTGCTGAAGTGTACCCAAGGGTCCCGAGAAAACAATGTACCCAGGGAGAGAAGGCCCAGGTGTGAGCAGGCATGGTCTGGGCTCCCTCCTGCGGGTTGGCCGTACTAGGGTTGGTTCATTCTAGCACTGGGGTTTGTGAGATAGAGTGCGGGGCTGCGCTTACCCTTCATTCCAGGGCATCACACTACACACATACCTGCCTCTCGGCCTCGGCCTGGAGAAAAGCAAGCACTCTGTACTTCGTTGGAGCTAGTCTCTTCAAGCAATGCCGGGAGGAGTTTGTTTTCTCTAGCACTGCCAAAGAGCCCCTGGCCAGAAGGTTAAGTGAGCTTTATTGAAAAGACACACTTTTCCTCCCCAGGCCGATAAACAAAGCCGCTGCAGGGAAACTAACTTCCTCCCAGGGGCACTCAGCTGGAGGGGCCCATCCCTGGCCAAGGGAAACAAATACATAAACATTTCAGAGATATATAGGAAGCATTTCTACTGGAAACCTGCTGTGAATGGCCGCTGAAGTTTACACAGCAAACCCCACTGGGGCCTCAGCACAACCTCAGCAAAGTGGTCCTCGCCCTTGTGTTTCCCTGCTGGCCGGGCTGGCTCCTCCTTGCCTCTCCCCAAAGAATGGCAATCAGTCTGCCACTTGTGCCTAACCACAGGAAGCCAAGACAAGCTCTGTGGCTGTCATCACCCAGCGTCAGCCTCGCCCCCTACATGCTTGGCTCCCAGAACGAAGGGAGCCAGCCCTGTGGAGGGACACAGCCTGTTATGCCATAAATATGGAGTCTCTCCCAAGGTGTCGTGTGTTGACCCCCAGTGCAGCAGTGCTCAGAGGTGGGGCCCAGCTGGAGGAAGTAGGTGCCTTTGAAGTGCATATCTTGCCCTCAGCCCCTTTCTCTCTGGCCCTTTTCTTACTCTGTTTCTGGCTGCCATGAGGCAAGCAGCTTTGCTCTTCCATGCTCTCCTGCCATGGTCTTCTGCCTCACTACAGGTTCAAGGACAACAGTTTCTGCCCAACCAAGGACACAAATCTGAGAAATTGTCAGCTCAAAATACACCTTTCCTCCTTTAATGTTTGTCTTTGTCACAGCGATGCAAAGCTGATTCTAAACACTCCTAGCATGGCTTGTGTCCTAAGCCCCTGGTGCATACAGAGGCTTCCCCCTGGGCTGGGGCAGACACACTAGGAATGCAGCCATAGCCCTGTGTGTGAACACCTCCTCCACAGCCCCCAAGTCATGGCCAAAAAGCTTATTAGGAGCAGTGTCAACCTCCGGGGCAGTGGCTCCTGCAGCTTTGCTAACCCATATGACAAGAACTCCTAGGGGCTGGGCGCTCTGCTTCCATCCCTCGCTGTCCAACCTGCCCTTGTAAAACCGGGCAGAGCAGCCCTGGACTCCAGTGTTTTGTCTTGTTTTGCTTTGTTTCCTTTCTGGTACTGGGATTTGAACCCAGGGGCACTCTACCACTGAGCTATGTATACCCTGCCCTTTTTGTTTTGAGACAGAATATTGTTAGTTTCTTGGGCTGGTCTTAAGCTTGCCATCCTCCTTCCTCAGCTTCCTGAGTGACTGGGATTACAAGCATGGACTCTGGTTTTAACAAAATGACACAATTCTCTCTCCTCTCTCTCTCTCTTTCTCTCTCTCCCTCCCTCCTCCCTCTCTTTCCTTCCCTATCTCTTTTCACCTACTTCGTCTTTGCCAGCTTCCCATTGCACTACTGCATTTTCTCGTACTTCTTTGTGAGACTCATTATAAATGAACAGCATAAGTGAGTCTCAGATGTTAATCATCACTTTCTTCCCATTCCAACCTCCTCTGTCTTTGCTCTGGGATGTGAGGGGCTCCAAAGATCTGCCCACTCACATTCTCAGTGAGTTCTCTCCCCACATGTCCCCTACAGTCACAGAGGAGGGTCAGCCCAGTTCTGTCTGTCCCTGTCCCATCTGACTGGGACACCTCTCCTGGAGGACTCTTCCTCTCATCACTTAGCCAAGCCCACTCCCTCCTCATGGAGCGCCCTGAGCAACCCAGATCTTCCCCGAGACAGGCTCACCTGGGGCTAGAGCAGCCCCCAGCTACATAGCTTATGACGTAGCCTTGTACCATAGCCCTGTGCTGATTGAGTGAAAACAGGGGAGGCCAGGGTGCCAGCCGTGCATAGCCTCAGGGCAAAGGGGATTGGCTGTCTACAAGGGCTAGGGGCTAGGAACTGTCCTTGCCTGTGGGTGTCATGGCTCCGGGGCCCTCTACCACCCCCACCCCAGCCCAGAGCAGATCACACACTCCTTTTTTTACAGTGAACAAAGAAGTCTCCATCCTCAGTGCAGGTTTGACTCTTGCTTTATAGAAAACTGACTACCAGAAATAACCATTGCCCTGGGTCTCCTTGGCCAACCATGCGAGAGACCTCAGTGAGGGCAGGGAACAAAGGAGGGGTGCAAACAAAAGCAGCAGAGTCACTGGTGGCCTCCTTCCTCTCCTTGGCAGTCAGGGTCAGCGGGGAGGCAATACAGCCTCACTCAGGGCGCCTGCCTCAGCCTTGGTGGCCCTACATGGGAGGAGCAGGGAGGCTTTGCTAGCTTGGCGCAGTGCTGGCTCGGGTGGGGGTGATATCTTCTTGGAAGAGACTTGCCCCAAAGGTCTGGGGTTCAGGGATCACCCCAGGCATGAGCAGTGGAGCCATTAACCTTAGCTGCATCCAGGGTCACAGGATCGGGTCTGAGCCATTCCAGTCCACAGAAGCCCCCTTCCACCTAAGAACAGAGCAACAGGAGGAGAGTTAGAGCAGCAGGGGCCCAGGCAAGAGCCCGCTCTTCCCCAGACTCACCACAAGTCTCACCTCAGAGGACTGAGGGCTTCCGGTTTCATTCTAACCACTTTACCCTTCCACATGTACACATAATGCCACACGCCCTCGTGAAACATGGATACACCTTAGATAGCAATGGGACAGAGGGGCCAGGTGGTTTATCCATCTGCCACAGCCAGCTCTGTGCCGGGTCCTCTGGGCCCTCTGCTCATGCGAGTGGTCCAGGCACATTTGAGTCCAGCTGCTTTCCAGAGGTGTGTGATGGTGGCCCTTTACAGACACCTGTGGAGGACTAAGAAAGTAGACACCCTGAGGTGTCCAAAGCGCTGGAAACTGGAAAGGTGGGGAGAGTGATACAGGCAGGGCTGGCAAGCAGAACATCACAACGCTCCTGGGTTTTTCTCTAAGACCCACAGGAGGCCAGTAAAGGGCTCTGCGCACCACAGGAGCATAACAGAGTTTCTAAAATTGCTTTATAAAGCCACGAGAAGCACTGAGTAGAATTAAGGTCCAGAGTAAGATACAACTTAATAGTAGTTCCATCCCAACATAAAAGTTATTGTAGCTAAGACCATGAATCTAATTAGTGCTTGATTTTAACACATGGTACTGATTTGGTAAAACAGGAATCATTGGCAACAGATGGAGAATTTATGGAAATCTTGCAATAGGCATACTCTCTCTATATGTGTTTACCAAGACTGAAGCAGAACACAGACGCAGCACATCTTAGCAGTAATGAAGAGTTAGAAACAGGTTTATAAATGGTTTCTAAAACCTGAGGCTTGGGGAGGGAGCCTATACCCCACTTTGAAAACCTGAAGATTTTCTTTAGAATCGAAGTCAAGATTCTAACTGCCGTAGGGCAATACAAAAGGAAAGCTGTTTTCACTTTAATTGTCCGCCAGCTTGGAAAGTCTAGTGCCCCTAGATACTACAATAAAGGATCAAACAGGTAATCCCAAAGTAACACTGCTGCATCTCCCAGTGGAATGTTCAGGAACACCAAGTGATTCCAGTATAGTTGATCCTCCTCATCTGTGGGTTCTGCACCCCAATTCAACCCATCATGTAAAAAAGACAAAACAAGGGTGTCTGTATGAGCATGTGCAGACTTTTTCTTGTCATTATTCCCTAACCAATACAGCAACTATTTATGTAACACTGACATTGTATTAGGTATTTTAAGTCACCTAGAGATGATTTCAAGCAGTGATGGCAAACCCTTTAGAGCTTTCAATGACACAGTGGCACGCATGCCATAGGTTCACATCACTGATTTACATACAGTATTTAGGAGGACTAGGCAGGTTATGTGCAAATACTACTCTACAGTATTTTATAGAAGGGTCTTGAGCATCCTCAGAATGTGGTAAACACGGTGGTCCTGCAACCAAGCTTCTGCAGATACCAAGGAACCACTATAGCAGATCATCCTAGACTCAACCCTCTCCATCTTTATCACACAAGCATCTCTCACTGATTTTCCTTCTCCTTCTTTTCTCAGGTGTCTGCTTTTTCTTCAGCTCTGTGCACTGCTGCTTTGATTGCTGCATCTCTGAATTTGGGGTTGGAAGTGACACACTTCCAGAAGCAGCAGGATTCGTGCTCCCTCTGATCTTCTAACTTGCTTTCCTTTTGGCTACAGCCAAACGCCTGGTAGCTATAAAGACTATATCTTGCCTTGCTGTGTATTTTCTATACTTTATACCATTTCACTTCTCTTCGAAGGAGCAAGGAGATTTCTTGATATTTGGAGAAAAAAAATTATCTTAATGTTCATGCTGTGCCTTTTGCTCTCCTAGAAAAGTTTGGTGTGGAAGATGGTGTTTGCATACAGCCTATTTGGGAACAATTAATACTGCGTTCTCCACCCAGGGTACTGTGAGGACACAGCTCCCATAACCAGTGGGGAATGTGTGAATGTCGTGTTCACCACAGTCCTGACACAAGACACAGCCCTGCCTGATGCTGTGCACCCCAGTCGACAGCTGGAGACGTTTTGTCTATGTATGAGTGCTGACTTGTATCTTCTCATTAAAATTCTCTGCACAAAGGCTCAAATGGGTAGATGCTGGAAAACTTGCTCAGCCGTGAATGTTAACAATGTTTTAGGAAATTCTTTTCAAAATTATCTTTGTGTTCCTTTCAGTGTCACGTGTTGATATTCAGTGATACTCAGAGATCTCACCCAAGTGGGCTTGTATAGATTTTGGGCAATCAATCTTTCCCTCCAGCATGAAAGCCTGGGAGTACTGCTTCCCCACCTGAGCCCCTGCCCTCAGTTCCTTAGATCTTTCTGGGCACAAGTGCTCAGAAGCAGACCTAGATATTCAAAAGTACATGCATATGTTTTTAAGAAGAAATCTTTTAACAATGTGGGAAATACCTTCTTCATAAGACCCACCCCTAGCCTAAGTGTGATAAAAGATGCACGATAACACTCCCACACTCAGCAGCAAGCCCCACCTCCCTTCACTGCCAAAGGTCATCGTGTGAGTTGGAAAGAGCAGCATTGCTCATTCCATTGGACATGAAATAATTAAGTGATTCTGTGGGCTCCGGGTGCTTTGACAGATTATTAGACTATTTCCAACCAGTCTATTAGTCTATTTCCCAAGCTTCTGCGTGTGAGGCTGATCCAGATTCTTTGGAGTTGAGCCACTTTGATGGAATGTACCCACATCATAGCGCTCATCTTCTCTCATCTTCATGCTTGATTAAGAGACACTGGGACTCTGTTTGGAGACAACTTGACATGGCATGGAGAAGCCAGTCTGCTCTTAGCTGATGACTGCTGGTGTTATTTGAGGGTGGAGTCTGATGATGTCAGATTCCAGGGGAGCAAATACAGGTCTGACCAGCAAGGAGAATGGCCCCTATTCTGACTTGCACAGCTGAGTAGAGACCAGAAGTAAGACAGTCTGAGAAGGCATCATGCTGATCCCTGGTTCCTAGGGGCTGGCCCAGGCTAGCCATCTACATCAGCGTAATGCAGTGTTTAATGGAGTCTCCCATGATGCTTGAGGTTTTCAATTTTCTGTCTCTTTTTATCATCTTTGTAGTTTTGAAGTATATAATTTAAAAAAACTTTTATTGTTCTATAAAGATTTGGGGTAAGCATCAAATCCTAGGTGTTATGAACACTCTTGAATCCAGGTCCCCAAGGGGCAGCAGAAAGGAGAGCGACATTCCTGCCTTCAGCCTGGTTCCCAAGGTCCTTACCATACAGCCTTTACCTTCCGCATTCTGACAGGCAAGCTGAAGTCCTTCCCATGATCCAGATTTTCAAACCTCCTAGACCTTGGCAAAAATGGGGTTTGGCTTCAGTGCAGGCAGGGGTGAGTCACATTCATCAGCAGCTAGATAGCATCCATGTCACACCAGTATCTAAGTCTCTCTGTCATGCTGTCAGATTTGTGCTAGGTTTTGAGGCTATTTATGGAGATAACTAACCAGCCCATCCCAGCCAACAGGTGCAAAGGAAGGGAGATGCATGAGCAAGAAGCCGTTTTGCAACGATGGTAGAAAATCAGAGACGTTTTAAAAACTGAAAGGGCTGAGATAGAACGGGTGTTGTTCTGAATGTCGATGAGTCAATTACAAGGACGAGTAAAAAGAGCTCTGTGTAGGAAGCCAATAGCAATTAGTGATGGTGGCGACAGGGGAGGGATGGAATGGAAAGGCTTCTGAGTGCACCGAGGAAGAAGCTCACCCATCAAAGCTAACTCAGGAAGTGCCAGCAGCATCACAGTTTAGGTATCTTTGGCATTTGTGACTGAAAAAGTCTTTGTTGGGGGGTTTTCCTGTGCATTGTGAGGTACTTAGCACTCCTTCCCTGGTTGTTGACAACCAAAAATGCCTCTGACTGCCAAGTACCCCTGGAGGTGTCCCCTGGCTTAGAGGTTGAGCTGCGTGAAAATGCCTGGTCCTCAGAGCCCAAAGTCAAGCCTGACATCGTGGAGACAGTCACATCATGGCCTCAAATAAAGCCTGTTCCTCATTAGTGGTGAGCACTGCAACAGCTGGAGCACTTCCTACCTCGGCAGATTTGCAACGTTGAGGAACCTGCTTTATTTCACGGGGGAAAGGATTCTCCCACCTGTGGCCTTGCTGTGCTCTCCACCTGTGTGCCATTCTCCTCCCTTGCCCACCCTCCTTCAGAATCATACCTAAGATCCTCCTGGCAAAAGTGATCTCTGGCTGCCAGGCTGCCTGGGGATCCCTTAGCACCTGGACCAGGCTCAGGGCAGAGCTGGTGTCCCCTGTCACAGGAGGACTATGGCATGAAGATGCCCCTCCATACCAGCTGCTCCTCCTGGATATCTGCTCTAGAGCCCTCTCATGCACCCATCAGGGAAGCCTGGGTCTTCCATCACACTTCGCTCTCCTTCCGCTAACCCGGGTGGTTATGCAGCCCTGCCCATGCCCACAACCACTGCCTCTTGTCCTCAACTCTCTGCTTCCTCCCCGACTCTTACCCTACTTGCTACCACCTGATTCTTATGCTGCCTACACTCCATCCTCTGTGTTCCCCAAAGGAGAGGCACTACCTTCTGCAGCTCTTTTCTTGATTCACAGCAGCTCAGGGAAAGGATGGTGATGCTCAGGTGACATAAGGGGAAAACCAGGCCAGGAACAGAATCCACACACGACAACCACAGAGCAAAGTCAGGGATGTGTATGGGTAGGACAGCAGCAGTAGGGCATGCTTGGTGTGGACAGGGAAGTAGTAGGGACACCATGGGAGAGGGGCACTGGGATCAGGGAGCCCCAACAAGGTTGCCAGTGGGAAATATGGGAGAAGGGCCTCTTGGGGGCAAGGATACCACTGAGAGAAGTGGGCATTCTGTCCTAGGCCCATGAAGGCACTGATCCCAACTGGAATTATAATTTTAATTTCTTGTCTGGGACTCCAAACAGAAACATGTGGGCCCAGCTCCAGGCCTGGTTATGAGTTCTTCCCTCTTCTCTCTGGATGGCTGACAAGTCTTTCATTTTCTCCTACTCCAGCTAGGCTGGAAGCATGAGAGGGGTCATTGTGTGTGTCCTGTTTGGAAATGACCCTGTATGGATCTGGTTTTGCTGACATGGGTAGAGAACTGGACAGGGGAGGGAAGGGAAGCAGACCCCACATTCCTGACATGGAATAGGTAACAAGAGACTCTCTGAGGCTGAGATGTGCGTCACACCAAAAAGTAAGGACAACACGGGGACCCAGGGATGGTTCCAATTAGGATGCTCTTCTCTGAAGGCAAAACCCAGTCTGGGCTTGTGCAATGTCTCTATGGTAACAGAGCCAGGTGTCAGGAAGTCATGCTGTCCTCTCAGTGACCTTCTGCTGGGCTGGGATAACAAGGCCCTAAGCCACTCATGACTGGAGGTAGGCTAGGGAAGATACCTCATTCTGGAGACTCCCCTCCTATCTATAAAAGAAGGGGCTACACTAAGTGGTGTTGCAGGACATTTCTGTGGATTCAGGCAAGATGCCAGGGGCCCAGATGTGTGCTGTGGACTGTGCTGGGTCAGGCGTGAGCCAGGGCTTCTTGCAGGGCAGGAGAGCTGGGCCAAGGGTGGGTGGTGAATCTTCCCCTGGATTAGAACAGGGTTGATTCTGAATTTGGCTTCTATTGGATCATAAAGTCTCTGAGAGTAGGAACCAGTTTTGTTCTCGTTGTTGCTTCCATGAAGTCCAGCTCAGGAGTTCATGAGAGTTGATGTGCTAAGAGAGAAAACCAAGCCGTCCCCCAGGTCGCTATACAGCTTACCAGACCATCTAGCAAGATGGACAAGATAGGATGAGTATTTAGCTGCATCTCACCAGGCACCTGCAACCAAACTCTGCCTTGGAAATGACCTGAGCATAGGCCATGCAGCAGGCAGCAGGACTCACCCAGCCCCCAACCCAAGGCCTCAGAGACAAGATCCTTCCAGTGGGTCCCCACCATGACCTTGCAGACCTCTTCCCCAAGTTGCTCTTTGGAGCTGTTTAACAATCTGGGACGGAAACAAAATGCAAAGCCTTTGTAATCCAACCCCTTGGAGCAGGATTCCAGGGGGCTAAGCCTGCTGTTTCCCATTATGGTGCTGTTATCTGATGGGTAGAGGGGAGTGGACACAGAGATCCCACTCTTCCTTCATCCACTCAGCTTTTCTCGGAATCATGCTGGGAAAGTCTTACTGCGTTAGCTGCCAGGCAGCCCCACTGTGGGGGCAGGGGGAACAGGCCAGTAGAATAGGCGGAAGACTGGGTTTAAGAGGAAAGCCCCTAGCTCAGCGTGTCATACAGGCTAGACACTGGAAGGTCAACTGACTCCCACCAGGCAGACACAGAGGTGGGATGGGATGGGGGAGGTCACTCCAGCAGCTCCTCAGAGTGCGGCTCTAGGACCAGCAGCACCAACAGCACTAAGAACTTCTTGGAAAGGCAAACCCCGGCCCTGCCCTGGGCGCCTTGCAACAGGAGCCCTGGGTGGCCAGAAACTTATGTTCTGACTTGTTCTCCATAGCATCTGGATGTTCCTGAAGCTTGAAGACCCCTGTTCTGGAGCAAGACCTCCCAATGCCCAAGGTATGAACAGATATGGGCTCTCCCAGACACTGGGGAGCTGGGAGGGTCTGGGGCAGAGTCCCTAGGCCTGCTGTCCCTTAGCCTGTGTGCTGCCCACAGGGGGTTACTCTCTCTGTGTGACAAGCCCCATGAGACACTGCTAGAGATGCTGGGGCTCAGCCTTGTCCAAGCTCACAGCAGTGAGCACAGGTGAGGGCAGGAGGACCCGGCCTAGACATCTGTCCGCAGACCCACGGCTCACTCCAAGGTACCTCTCCAGCTTCCCTCATCACTTGACATCTGCCACACGGTGTGGGAAAGAGCGCCCTGGGAGGCAGTGGCACCTGGTGCCGCACATCCACCCTCCAAGAGTCTGGCCTGAGATCCCTGTTGTGCTGGTTCTGGGCAAAGGGCTGCTTCCTAGATAGGCCGGAGTCCAAAGTCAAACAACTGCCAATTAGGGCTGCACCCCAGAAGTCCAACGGGGCTCCATGCTGAGAGAAACTTTAAGTCCTGAGACAGAATGGTTTTCTGAGGAGAGTGGCGTTTCCTGCCCAGAGTGGGCGTAGGGGAGCTGGGTGGCAGCCCTGGGAGGGGAACAGACACAGAGCCAGATGGAGGCCTCAGCCAGGACCCCAGGGGCCCAGAGGAGGCCAAGCTGTACCAGGGTATGGTCGAAGCCCTCTAGGGCCCTGCAGGAAGGATGCCCTGTGGCCTCCATGCTGTGTTACACCGGGTGCCAAGGCCAGTGTCACCTCCCTTCCCTACTCAGCCCTTCTCTCATCACCTGGAATGAGTGGCCCTTTGTACATGAAAGACAGCGACCCGCATGTGCCCTTAATCCCCTGATGAAAACAGTCCCGGCACATGACCCTGCAAGAATGCTGTGTCCCTGCCTGGGGGAGGGAGGGTGGACAGACGGGGACTGGACAGAAGCAGCGCAGTGAGGATGTCGGCGCACCCTCCCACTTCCCTGCCCCAGCGGTCTTACTCAGCCCATTCAAGGGCTCGCCCACCTGCAGGTGGGCAGGATCTGGGCTCTAGCTGTGTCCTGTGGATCTCAGGGAGGCAGAACTGGGCCTGGACCTTTTTCCACAGCCCCACCTGACTCCAGTCACTTCACAGGCAGGAAAATGGAGGTTCCGCCTCAGGCCACCCCGACTCCTGAGTGGTTGAGTTACTCATGAGAGCTCATGTAGCAGAGTGCTTGGTACTGTCCCAGCACTCTCCTCAAAATCCCCATGAGCTAGGAACTGCCACTGTCCCCATTTTGCAAATGACAAAGGGGGGTACAGAAAGGTGAAGTCCAACAGCTCACAGCAGGTTCGGCCTGAGCAGCCTGGCTGAAGCACCCGAGCTCCGAGCTGTTACAGCTTCGACTGCCGCTCTGGAGGAAGGGAAGAGAGTCCAGGTTTCCCCACTCCCGGGCTGCCCTCATCCACCACCGCAATGCATGTTGTGGCCTCCTGGAGGTCCTACCCCAGGGTTGGAGCTGGCTCCCTCATTGTGATGTCCTCCCAGCCTGTGGAGAGCAGCCCCAACTGGAGCCCAGGGGAGAACTCTGAGGAAAGTGGGCCACAGCTCCCCGAGGGACTGGGCTCCCCTCCCCCAGCCTGCACCTCAGCCTCCCCACCTCTTTGAAGGCTACACGTCTGCTGAGTGCTCAGGGCGGCCAAGGCAGCTGCTCCGCCTCTATCCTATCAGAGGGTGCTGCTGCAGTTTCCAGTTCCCACCCAGCCGACAGCACCCCTCCTCCTTTCAGCCCGACAGTACTCAGTGCAAAGGCGGCTGCGCCTGGATGGGGCACAGCACCACCCCACCGCGGGGACACCCCAGAGCTGCGAGCCAAGCGCCACCTGGGCCACAGTGAGGAGCGGGGCAACGGCTTTCGGCACGAGCCCCAGGTCCAGCGTCTCTCCGATCCACAGGGGTCTCATCTCACCACATCCCTCAGGGTCCTCTTCCTGCAGGCCTGACACCCCACTGCCCCACATCCCAGCCATGCAGGGCGAGGTTCTAAAGCCACAGCCAGCCCGACTCACTTGGTCCTGATGCAAAGCTCCAGAGGAGGGACAAGGCCCTCGCTGCTATCCTCAGGGACGGTCTGCGTGGTGTCTGGGCAGGAGGAGAGAGCAGCACACACGTCACCCCAGGGCTCTGTGCTCACCCTGCGGTCAACACAGGCAACCACAGTCCTGCCCGCTGGCCCTGTGCCCTCCTTTCTATCTCAACTACACCTGCCTCCATTCCTGGCCACAGATTCGCACTTGGGTAGTTCACTGGTCTCTCATCTCCAGCCACCATCCCACTCCTGCACCCTGCCTCTGCTACCGCAGTACTCTTTCTAAAAGCACATCTGGCCTCATCACTCCCCTGTTCCAAAACCTTCCATGGCTCCCTATTGCTTGAAGAATAAATCCAAACTTGTCAGCCAAAGTTTTCAGGGCTCTTGCCATGTGGCCTTAACTTGACTTTACACCCTTGCCAACATTAGGAGCTCAAGGGCCACCCCACAGCCCCTCCTACAGGAGGCCCTGCAAACACTGCTCCCTGATCACCCGGTCCCAACACTGGAGGGAGTCTGCATTGTCCCCTGGCCACCCAGAGAGTGTAGATGGGGGCTGGTGTCTGAGCAGCCCGGAGGCTCCTGAGGAGTGGGCTGGGGTGGCACACCGATGGTCAGGCGGATCTGCTCCTGCTGGTTGGCCAGGCCGTCATAGTAGTACAGGTCAAAGAGCCGCTCGGTCCTCCAGTCGGACAGGAGCTCAGACTGCAGGCTGAAGAGGATGCTGAAGTGGCTCTCACTGCAGACCACCCAGATGGGGTACCTTGGGGTTTTCAGGAAGCAGCCGACCTGGAGGGTAGAAGGTGCCAATGAACCTGCTGTCCTGAGATAGGAGCCGGGACACCTTCTGTCCAAAGGTGACCTCCAAGAGGTCAGCCCCTGCCACTGCCCAGACCCCAGGCCCATGTCCCGGAGCTGTCCTGCCCGCCCAGTGGCTCCCAGGGCCTTTCCTGCACAGACCTGGGCCCCGGGCATCACCTCGGCTTCCCCCTACCACCCAGGTGTTCCTGGAGATACCCATGCAGCATCCACAGTGCTTTCACCCTGCCCCCTCTCCTCAGGCCTGCTGTGCCCCTCATCAGGGCACAGACCTCAAGCCCCAGGCCTTTGCATTCTCTGTCATGGTCTGGAGTGTCCTCCCTGTGAAAAGCCTTAGCACCTAGATTACCCAATCCAGGGACAGGGACCTCCTTTTTCCAGGTCTGGAGCATTTTGCAACCATCCCCACGGACCACAGCACCACAGCACATCCCCTGCCTCACAACACCCATGACCTCAGCCCCAGGAGCCCAGGATATGATAAGTCAAGATGCACGGAGACCCCTGTGAATGAATGGGGCCTTGGACTAGAACCGTCCCTTGAAGACAGGTAGGACTGGGAGCCACGGGGCACTAAGAGGGAAGGGGCATGTGAGCAGTGTGGTGTGATGGGAGGAATAAATGAATGGCTGGAGAAATTAAGGGCACAGTGGGGCATTCAATAGAAGGAGTAAGGGAGAGAGTGGGGCAGCATTCAGGTAAGGAGCAGGAACTTCCTCCTGATGAGGGATTCTCTGAATGGTTCAAAGCCTGGGACACCATGGTGGGAGGATATTTGGGGAAGACACTACAGATTAGGCACCAGGGGCCTCAGGACATTGCTACCATTCAGCTTGTGATGGGCAGAGGGCTCACCAAGGGCCCCTGAATGTCAGGTCAGTTCTACCCCTCAAACCTGGCCGGGCTCATACTTTCTCCTCCTGTCCCCGACAAGACCCCAGGCAGCATGTCTCCCTACCAGGGGTCCTGGTTTACACAGCTAGGTACATGCCACGGGCCAGGCTGATTCTGGCCTAATCCCCACCTACCCCAGGGAGATGTTTGCATGCTCAGGTATTTACAGCCACTGCCTGTGGATTAAGGAAAGAATGGGAATTATTTTTCCAGTGGGCATACTTTCTCCAGGGCCTGTCAGGAGACTGGCCCAGCAGTTCCCTCCTCAGAGGTGACTCTGGGTTAGAGGTGTCTAGGACAGAGGGACCATGCTCAGAATGTGCCCAGTGAGACCTGCAGCCCAGTGAGACATGGGTGGAGCGCGAGACAGCAGCCTCCTCTAGCAGACTAGGAGGACCAGCTTTACAATGGGCTTATCACCTTCTTATTATCCATGGGCCCTCCTGCCCCACACCACCAGGGCCCTCATCCAGCCTGTGTGACTTCCAGTGTGACTTCAGGGCTTACTTTCTGTGAGGTGTGGGGCACTTTGATGTCCAGAAGGACGTGGCTGGACATGCCTAGCCTTGTGGCACACTTGGCTTCATTCTATGCCTCAGAGAGGTTTTACTGGGGATGGCCCTGCCTGTGACAAAATGCCTTGTGGCAGAGAAAGAGCCTTGGGGCCAGCCAGGAAGCAGAGCTGCACACAATCAACCCCCCTGGATTTTCCAACAGAGGGACACAAGGGCAGCTGGCCATAAAGAAATCACATAATAGTCAGGAGATTAAGGGGAACAAGCTGCCCAGAGAGTTTATAAATGAGTTCTCTCATTCAGGAGCCCCTTCCAAGTGAGTGACATTTTCCACAGACAAAACTCACTTCCTCTAGACTCCTAAGCAACCAAAGGCTTGGGACGAGAGGGGCTGGAGGCCATATTCCCTCAGCACAGTCCAGGCTTTCTCCTGGTGGGGAGCACGCCACATCACCGGGGATGGCTTATCATTGGTGAGGCTTAATCTGCAGAGGTCGTGAATGACCTGCAGCAGGCCTGGACTGCCAAGTCAGGAGCACTTGTTTCCATGGATCAGCATTTTACTGCAGACAGTTATGGTCTTATTTATGAGTGTAACACTCACTCAGTGTGATTTATACTTCATCCCCTGCACCACGGTAGGCAGTGCGGACACAGCACTGAAGGGAACCAGAAGAGTCCTGGCCTTAGAGAACTTCCCGGGTTAATAGGGATGACAGAGGGTATTCGAACAAATACATTTGCACTGTACTCCATTGAATCTATCATGATCACCATTGTTTTGTTTTGTTTTGTTTTTTTGTATCACTCAGAAAGGTGACAAAGTATGATACACTGTGCACTATAATGATGCACTGCAATTTCAGAAACGTTCAAAAGTCCAGAAGTTTGCATCTTGAAAGCACTAAGATGTGGTACTTAAATCAAGAAAAGGCACATGAAGAATATCTGGGTGGAGAATGAGAAAGTGGGGAGGGGACCACAAGAACAGGCCCCTGCTTAGAGGGACGGTGAAGGCAGGAATGGTCTTCCTTGGAGAAAGTAACTTGAAGAGCAGGAAAGGCAGGGCCTGTGGCAGGCAGATCGTGTGCAAAGGCCGAGAGGCGGGTAAGAACCAAGAGGGGGTAAGTGCCTGAAGCCTGGTACCTAAGGAGACAGTGGACTTGGGGGGAGTCAGGGACAGCTCTGGGAGGGCCTTGTGGAGCTCAGGGAGTCTGGGATTTTATTCTCTGTTTTAGTTTACTTAGGCTACTGAATAAATACCACAGACTGGGAGACTTAAACAGCATTAACTATTGTCTCCCATTGGTGGAGCTAGAAATACGTCATCAAGGTGCCATTCTGGTTATTCCTCGCCTCCTCCTGGGATGCTGGACACCATCTTCTCCCCTGTTGTCACATGGTCCTCCTCTGTGTGTGTCTGTGTCCTAATCTCCTCTTCTCATGATGCTGCAGGTTCATTTGGATTAAGGCTATCCCGGTGACCCAATTCTAATTTAATCACCTCCTTAAACACCCTGTCTCCAAATACAGTCACATTTGTAGGTACTGGGGCCTGGGACTTCACATATGAATTTTAAGGGAACAGAGTTCAGCTCATAGCACTTTCAGAGGACTAGGAAAGCACTAGTTTGGGTGAATGGAGGGATGGTACCATTTTTCTGGGCTGGGGATGATCAGAGGAGGATGGGCTTTCAGGAGAGCCCCTGTCAAGCTCCATTTTCCTGTGGGTTCCTTCAGGAAGACAGGATTAAATAAGCCTTGCAGGTATAGGAGAACCTCTGGGAACAGAAAGCACCTTGTCCTCCCCTTGTCTCTTAGCACCCTCACCAGCACAGCTGGGTCTTGGCCTTCCAGCTGTGGTCTGCAGAACACTCGACCCTCACTGGGGAGCCTCAGCCTGGGAGAACTCTGGAGTTCAGGAAGGGAAGTAGAAGTTACACAGGCAAGGCTAGTCCAGTGCAGTCATGTGTGCATAGGACCCAGCCAGGCTGAGGCAGGAGGCCAGTTCTGTACAGCAAGGAGCACGTTTCTCTGGCCCAGAGCTTCCTGTTTGCCCTAGGCACATCCTGAGTGTGGGTCATCTGAGAAGCTCATCTATAAGTAGGACATCCCATCCCTGATCTCCTACACACTCACTAAGGGCCCCGGGACCTGGCCTCCAGCCAGAGGCCACAGTGGGAAGCCTAGAGACAGACTGTGAGCAAGAGGCAGGGCTGGCGCCTCTCCTATGTGCACAAAGGCATCAGGATCCAAGTTGTTCCAAATGCAAAATCTTCCCTCAGTGGAGCAAGGCAGGCCAGACCAGCGCATGGATGCTGGCTCTGAGTCCAAGTCTGGGCTGGGTGCTGAACCTGCCTGGGGTCCTAGATCCAATGTGTCTAATGATGCAGGGCTCTAGATACTCAGGGACAGAAGGCATAGCAGGTGATCTTAAAGAATAAGAGTGCTTTTCCAGGGCTTCCAAGTCCTTCCTTATCCCTCAGGGAAAGGAGAGGCCAAGGCCCAGCCTTCAATGGCTTTTGAGACAGAAGGTTATGGCCAAAGCTCCTTCTTTAGCAAACACCAGCTGCGAGGCAGAGGACAGCATCCTCTTCCTGCAGGGAGACAACCTAACCCAGGCCATAGTCGAGCCTAGGCCGGTAAAGGGGGCTATGGCTACGTGGATCCATCCAAGCACCCCATGAGGGGAAGATATCTGTGGGACCTGAAATTCTTCAACACTCATCCTATTCCAGGGGAAGGATGACCTCTGCTGATCTTCACGTCAATTACCCTCTACTGACCAAAGGAAAATAGTTTATGTCTGACCAACGCCCTGGACACAAGAATGAAACCAGGGCTCATGGTGAGCCTGGGGAGTCTACAAGCCTGGCTGTGGAATTTTGGGCTAAAGGCTTTTGGAGCCCACCCAGGGCCTTATGGTCAAGAGCCTTGCCGCACCTCATTGGCCACGTGGCCACATTCCTGGGTTCCCTCATGCTGCCGGCACAAGGGGGTTGAGGGAAGCAGCCCTCACTCTCCTCTCCCTAAGTCTTTGGAGCCCAGAATCTTCACTGTGTAAGCCACAGGTACCACCCAGAGAGGGGATCTGGGGATAAGGTTGCACCCCGTGGTCTATGAGCAAGGGACAGCACATGTAGTCCTGTGGGAAGGGTGGGATGAAAATTCTGGTCCTGCAAATCCATTCACCTAGTGATCCCTAGGGGTTCCATAGGGTGAATCTGTCCAGGCTCTGGAATACAGGGTGAATAAGCCTCATCAAAGCCCTCCAACAAACTGTACAGGGTCAGCCACCAGGTAAAAAAATTTCTCTCACTGCCACTCAGGACAGTGCTTTCCACATAATCAACCACAACAGCAGACTCCCTAGATGAAAAGTGAAACCCAGGGAAGGTTCTATGGCAGCTGGGACGGGAAGTCAGAGTCCATGTGTCCCCACCCTGCTCATGTTCCCCAGGGTAATGCCACCGATGCCCTACTCAGAGGTCTGGCCCTTTCTGAGACCCCAGCTGCAGTGAGGGAGGAAGCAGAGGGACCATGTCCCCCAAACAGACCAAGTCAGTGCCATCAGGGATTGACTTGGGTCCCCACAAAGAATATGTGATCTCCCAGTACCTCCGAATGGGACCATATTTGGATATAAGGTTACTGCAGACGTGATTATCTACGCTGAGGTCATCTTGGAGTAGGGTGGGCCTTTCCTTCAGTCAGGTTCTCAGAAGACAAGAAGACACACAGAAAGAAGATGGCCTTTGACAAAGGAGACCAAAACTAGGGTGATGTATGTATAAGCCAAGGAATACCAAGACACCAGAACATGCCAAAGGCTGAGAGAAATAAGTAGAAACTCTCTCTGTGGGCTACAGAGGAGCCCAACCTCTGCTGACTCACCAAGCTCAGACTTTCAGCTTCCAGGACTGGGAGACAATGGATTTCTGTTGTTTCAAGCCACATTTGTGACCTAAGAGCTCTGGTCCCTGTTTTTGAAGAAGAGGCCCTCCCAAACCAACACACACACACCCACACACACATACACACACACACACACACACACAACCGAATGCAGCCACTCTGACCCACAGTCACATTATAAATCTCTAGAAGTCTTTTTTTACTATCTTCCCCTAAAACAGGCTTCGGATCTGAATTACAAGTTTGTATTCAAGTGCAGGGAAGCCACCCTTCTCCCCCATGGCTTGGCTGGACCTGAGCTCCAGCTGGCTCTAGGAAGTGCAGTCCAGCTTCCTTCCCCCGGAGGTCCCTCAGAGAGCCAGGCTCCTCGGGGTCTGGAGACTGTGACCCTATGTGTACCTGGCATACATTGTAGTGCTCAAAGAGAGACAAGAAGCCAATGTCACTGCGGGCAGCAATGCCTCGGAGGAGTGTGATGTTTCCATTCCCAGAATCCAGCTCCACCACATCGTTGAAAACATTAGACACAGCTCTCCCAGTCAGCAGCAGATTGACAAGTTCCTGTTGATGAGAGAAGGGGAAGGCCACACCGAGTCTGAACCAGCTGCGAGAGGGAGGAGGGGACACTAGGAAGAGAGAAAAGGGTGGGGACGGAAGAAAGCAAGGACGGAGGGCAGCAGTCAGACTCTGTATTCCTACAAGTCCCATGGGAAAAGTTGCAAGCTTCTCTCATCAAACCAACTGCAAGTGTTCATCAGTTGTTATTCCACAAGCATCCACAGTGTACTAACTATATACAGGACCCTGTTCTAGGCCCCAGCTTATCAGAAGGACCTTGGGACAGGTGACACATGGCTCCATGCTCAGATCCAGTGTTGGGGGCTCAGATATGTGCCTGTGAGGTTGAAGCACATTCTAGGAAGGGTCTGGAACTATAAAAATGAACACACAGACCATTCCAGGGCCTGGGAGGATGCAAAACCACACATGATGAGGAAAGAGTGGCTTTGTAAAGTTCTGCGTCTTGAAGGGTGGTCTTTTAAAAGTAGTTTTCAATTGTGAAATAACTTTATACTCAATAGAAGTTGTAAAAATAGTACAGAGGTCCTGTGCACCCTTCACCCAGCTTTCCCCCAAAATAACATCTCACAGGACCACAGCACGCGCTCACAACCAGGAAACCACCATGCTCAGTACCAACCGCACCCCAGGTCTTACCAGGGACAATGGTGGGATTTAACAAAGGAAGAAGCCCAGAGAAATGTACTGTGAGTGGGCAGGGAGAAGAGCACAACAGAGAGGGGATAGGAAGCCCATTTCTTCTTGCCATGGGCAGTAGGCATTGGGGACCCCATGGCTCATGCCACACTCCCAGCAGAAAGAAAGTGACCTTGCAACCTGGAGCTGGTGCCACATGGACCTCAGCACTTCTCTGGCAGCTCCTTCACCTGACACCTGTATGAGTGGACATCTATGGCAGGAAGGCCCCTTTCTTCTGTAGGGCAAGTCTGATCCAGCCTCCTGTTAGGACTGGAGAGACCAAGCCTGCAGATGACAAAGGACTTCTCTGGCCACACAGCCATTGAAGGCCAGCGCTGAACCTGCACCTGCATCTCCTGGCTCCATGCATCTGTCTGGGTTTCTTTCCTAATTCCCCTTCCATTGTTACATTCACGGTGGCATCTGCTTGAACACAGGTTCAAGATGAACCATGGTAGCCTGCGGGGAAGGAGTCCTGTGAGTCCAGCCCTAGCACTCAGGCAGCGGGTCCCCCTGGGTCACCGACCTCAGTAGGAACTGGCACTGCCTGTGAGGCCAGCTCTTCCCCAGCCCTTAGGAATGGCCAAAGCTGCCCTTTCCCCAGCATGCTAGGAGGGCAAAGTTTATGTAAGTGTTTTCCCTTGAATTGTGAAAACAATATCCAGGGTCAATAAATTCTTCTGTTAACACCAATACCCCTGCCCCAGTGACAATAAAAGAGGCCTCCGGTGATGGCCGGCAAAGGGCCTCTATTGGAAGGAGATACTGAGGGGTCATTGTGTCCTTGCAGAGGAAATGAGAGAAAAGAGCTTGGAGGAAACATTTGCTCTAAGATACCACACCTCAGAGGCAGTGCACTTAAAAAGAGACGTTTTACAGCCTTTTCAAGGGTGGCTCGAGTTTTTCCATTTGGTTTTAAAAATGAAAATACAATGCCCTACTTCTCCATCTGGGTGCATCTAGAACCTTCCTCCTAGCAAGAGGCTTTCTTGAGATGGGGAGAAGAGGCACAAGGCATCTCCTACACATCAGCAAAGCTTAGCCATCATCCAGGTCCTTGCTACTTAATGTGTGGTCCATGGACCAGCAATGCTTTCCTCCCAGAATGGCCTGTTAGCAATTCAGAATCTCAGGCCCTAGCCCAGCTCCCCTAAATCTGAACCTACTCCTCAGTATTACTCACAGGGATTTGTGTGCACAGCACAGCAAAGCTTAAGCAGCCATGGTCTAGACCAAATGCCTCTTCTACAAATGAGGAAAGGGAAGCCCAGGGAGGGAAAGAAGATGGCCCACCACCTTCCCTGAGTGCAACAGAGAAGAACACTTAAATCCAGTCCCACTCTCCAGCCCAATGTCCTCTGCCTCTCACTTGATGGTCTCCATCCCTGGGCAACATCACGCCCTGTCCTCTACAAAGGGAAGCTTTCCTGGGACAGAGAGGTTCTCACTCTGAGAGCACAACCACCCTAGGCAGCGAGAAGAGTGATGACTCCCCCAGCTCTTTTCAGGAAGCCAACACCTCATTCCTTTGTGGGTGTCCCACAAGCCACAGCTCTAGAGCTAACCTCTGCAGAGGACCTGGTAGGTCTTCAGAGCTGGACACATGTGAGTCAAGACCCTAGGACAACTGGATCTGTAACTGGTCCAGAAGGCCAAGTTTGGGCACCTGTCTGCACGAAGGGTCTGTGCAGAGGGTCAGGTCACTTCCCTGTAGCCCACCTGGCTGCTCTGGGAGGCCTTGCCATACCGGGAAAGCCCTGGGTAGAAGCTGGGCTGGGATTTCCCTCCAGATCTCAATCATGGTTGACAAGCAACCATGCTCCGGGTCTCTTGAGGCCCTTGATGACAGTGGAGGAGGGAATCCATTTGTAAAGGTACAGAGGAAACAGTCTTCATAAAGACAGTGCTCCATGCCAACATAAAGAGGTCCATGGCCAATGTTCCCAATAGACCCAGAGTCCCCAGATGATACCACAACCCCTGCAGCCAGGGCTCCAGGTGGTGCAGAGCTTGATCTGCATTCCGCCTTTCCTGCATCCCATATAGCTCCAAGCGCAGAGATCAGCATAGGGCAAGTGCTCCAGAAACAGAGGACAAACAGAGCTGTCTTTCTAGTGCTCCTTGACCATGAAGCCCAGCAGGGTGTACGTGGAACGATGCCTAGAGGGGTTGTTGGAGGACAGGGAGAAAGGAGGGACAGAGGGAAAGAAGAACCACCTGGCTGCCCCTGGGCCCCACAGCGCCCCAACCTGTGTGCAGTAACCATGTGCTCCAATCAGGTGACTGGTGGGGACATCGAAATCCTGGCGAATGCTGGAAAATACAAAAAGAAGTAGCATTAGCGTGCCTCTGCCCACCCTTAGCTATCTGGGCAAACCTTGCTGATGACCAAGGACTATTTGGTGGGAACCTGGTCCTCCAGTGTTCTATGCTCTCTGAGGAGGGGCCTCCCACCCCAAAGGGATGGGGCCTAGAACCCTGGCCTGTTCAAGCCAAAATCACTATATTCTCTGGGCAACAGCCTCTTCTTTGTCCTCCCGGTCCTCTGGCCACACCAGGTAAGGTGAGTGGAGTAAAGCCTGGCACAACAGAAAGGGTCTTGGGCTGGAATTCCAGGGTCCTGAATTCACATCCCACCTGCTGCTTGCTATTAATGGTGAGGGCAGGTTCATTCTCTCCCATCTCTGGGCCTCAGTCCATGGATCTGTCGAATGGGAAGAATGGACTTAAATGTCTGCTATAGTTTGACCCTATCTTGGAAGGGTTTGAGTGTTGAAATTTAACCCTCATTGTGAAGTGGAAAGAGGGTGGACACCGAGTGTGACCATGATATTTAGAGAAGGGGCCTCTGGGAGGTGACTGGGGCTAGGTGAGATCATCAGGGCAGACTCTATGACTGAATCCCTGAGGTTCTATAAAAAGAGCTTGAGACCACAAGAGTCGCACTTGGCTCCCCAAGTCTTGTCATGTGATGCCCTACATCTCCTCAGGACTCTGCCAGCAAGAGGCCATCACGAGATGTGGGCCTTCAACTTTGGACCTCAAAGCCATGGGCCAAAATAGACTCTTCTGGTTAAAACTTACCCAGTCTGCAGTATGCTGTTACTGGCAACAGAAAATGGACTAATATAGCCGCCCTGACTCCTAATACCATAGCCAGTGCCCCCTGAGCACAGTCTGTGCTCCAGCTACCACATATGCATCATTCCCCCAGACCTGGGCAGAAACTGAGGCACAGAGAAGGGGCTGTCTCTCCAAGGGCACTCAGGGCTGGTAGGAGATGCCAGCCACCAGCTTCCCAGCCTGGTCCACCTGCTCCCTTTAATCTGTGCCATCACAGAGGCACCACCTGGCACCAAGGCACTCAAAGGGCACAAGACAAAAAGCCTCTTGATGAAAAGAAATGATGAGAAGAAATTCTTCAAACTGAAAGAAGTGAGCTTTAGGGTTGAGCAGAGCTGGGGACAGAATGCTTCAATCCCAGACAGTGGGGACCCTGCCACCTGGGGAGCAGGGGGAGCACTAGGAGCAATGAGGCCTCCAGGAGCCTGAAAACCTTCCTCAGCTAGAAAGCCTACCACCAGGACACTGTTCCCTGCAGCCACTCCAAAGTCAGCCCCCAGGAAACTAACGTGTTTTTGTACACAGAGCCATATAACCAGCAAGCAGCGAAAGAGCTACTATCTACTGACGGGGCACAGCAAAAAAATGTCTCCAGGCTCAGGGAATGGGAATCACTGTCCTTGTGTTATAGATATTGAAAGAAGCTCAGAGAAGCGGCTGCTGGGGCCTGAATGAGACCAGGGAGCGGCTCCCGGTTCCATCTCCTACACTGCTGCATGGGCCCTGGGGGTGCCACTCACCTAGCACGGCACCCAGGGCCTGGCCCAAGCCTTCATCCACCCCTCAAGTGTGCACTGCACAGCAGCCAGGGACAGGAAGGGCTTAGCAACCAGAACACTCACATCTCCTTTTGTTGCAAGAGAAGGGGAACCTGATCTCAAGTTATGCATTAAATCAAAGATCTGCCACAAAGTCACAAAGCTAACACACTCACCCTGGTCTTATATCCTTCCCAAACAAGTTTAGAAATTCAAGCCCTATTATACTTGTAGGGAAAATGCTTTCTTGTGGTTTTTAAAACCAAACAGGAAAGGTTTACAGTTCACAGAGAAGGCTGGGAGTACCATCTCCGGGGCCTGCAGAGTGCCACAAAGGCTTAGGGTCCATTGGGAAGGTCTTCGGGGCTCACCCTCAGAGACAGCTCAGCAGGCCTGGGAAGGAGCCAATGGGGGTGACTCATGGCAGAGTACAGTACTTGGCCAGCACTTGCTCAGGCGGAAGAATTGATGGAAACATTCTTCACAGTATATATAAGCATCTTCTGATGAGAAGAAAATAACCTCAAAGCAGTCTTGAGTGGACCGATAAGCATCACTGGCCACGAGCCACCCAAAGATTTCAGAAGCAGCCCCATCTCCACAAGATTATAGCCGCGTGTTCACCCCACGGGCATGGGAGCCTGCGTCAGCCAGGAGCAGAGGGACAGGCAGACAGGACAATGGGAGGAAATGGTAATTGCATCCTTAGGTGCAAACACGATGGGAAATCTAGAAGTGTGTTTGGATCTTAAAAGGCATGAACATCTGTACTTCACATTAGGGCACTTGGGAAATGCCAAGGAGCAGCTTAAGAGATTTACAACTTTGGCAAATTGAGATCCCCAGACCTTCCCCAGGGGAGTCCCTTGGAGCCGAGTGTGAGGAGTCCTTGGGCAGAGAAGCACTCACAGCCTCTGCTCTGCTGTGCTTTGCTCTGCTCTGCTCTGCCCGGAGAGAATCAACTCACCCAGGGCTAGCACAGAACCCAAATGGAGCCTCAGCCTGTTGTAGAGCTGCAAAACCCCCTTCCCTTGGTCTCAGTCTCCCCTCTGGAACATGAGGGTCTTGGACAAGATGAGAGGTGTTTGGGCTGAATTATTTCTCCCAATTTGTATGTTAATGTCTTTATCCCGTGGTATCTCACGCTGCATTTGGAGATAAAAATTTTAAAGGGGTGATTATGTTAAAAGGGAGTTAGTGAGGGTTCTAATCTAATCAGATGGGTGTTCTTATAAGCAGAGGAAATTTGGGCACACAAAGGGACACCAGGGATGTGCAGATACAGAGGAAAGACCACGCAATGACACAGTAAGGTGGGCATCTCTAAGCCTGGGAGAGTGAGCCTGGTGCTTTGATCTTGGCCTTCTGGCCTGCAGACCTATGAAACATGTCTGTGTCGAGCCACCCACTTGGGAGCTCTTGACTATGGCAGACCTAGGAACCTGGAACTAGCAGCCTCTAACATCATTTTAGACTCAGAGCCCTTCTAGAAAGGAAACCTTATATGTGGAAGTAGCCCACTTCATGAAGCCCAGCTGCTGCAGCTGTGAGTAGCCACTGGCCTGCCCCGTCTTTGTCTCCCTCCATCAGCCTTGAGGTCTCAGGGAACCCTGGGCCCCCAGAGCACACAGTATCCTTGGAGGTTGAAGCTGGGAAAGGGGCTCCTGAGCTCTGGGTTCCTGAGTCACAGTCATGACAATCCCTTCCCTAGGACTGACATACCCGTCTAGCCTAATATGAAGGCCGTCCTTTCCACAGTTCTCCTGAGGGTTGGACAGCCCTAGCCATAGCTGAGGGACACAGCACAAGCTGGACAAAGGAGCCAGGAGGACAGTCCCCACCTAAAACAGGCCCCGGCAAGGCATCCTGCCCTGGTGAGCCCTCTAGGGAGCAGAGCTTGCCTGGATTTCGAATCCAAGAAGCAAGAGCGAGAGAAGCGGAGTGAGTACAAGGAGAGGCCTGGCCGAGCTGCCATGCTGTCTACCTCCTCAGCATCTAGAAGCCAACGACCAACACTCTGGACCAAGGATCCCGGGGTGACCTGGTCTTGAGGGGCAGTCCTGGGCCATCCAGTGGTATACACTCTCAGCTCTGCCCATCATGAAGAGCCCGCTGAGCCACCAAGCTGTACCAGGAAACAGAACAAAGGGGCCCTTAGGGCTCAGTGTTCTGCAGATGGGAAGACAAACGCCCAGAGAGAGAAGACAGGCAAACACCCAGATCTATCAGGGCCTATAGCCAGGCCCAGACCTCTGCTGTTCATCTCCACCTGCCCTTTGGCAAGTGTCTGTAAGCAGGCAGGGGCTCTGCCATGGTATGGGCTGATGACTCAAGAACCTCAAGTCTGCAGTCTCAGATACTTTGGAATACACTGGGCCTTCAAAAGCCTTGCCAGTCCAGGAGGGCAAAACGCCCATCTCTGTGTCACTGATGAGGAAACTGAGGCCCCCTGAGGAGAAGGGACCTTGTGGTTTTATGGTCACATAGCCAGCAGGGCCAAGGCTATGTTCTCAGCACCAACATCATCCTAGCCATCCAGCTCCAGGCAGGCACCACTCAGGTTCCACTGTCCATGGCTCCAGCCAGCTTATCCCTTCACCTAAAAGTCTCCCTGTGTGAACATATCATTTGGCACAGAAGTTTCTAAGTTAAGAAGGAAAATATGTCCACGTGGCCTAAAGATGTGGCCCTAATCTACAATCCTAGCCATTCACCTGAAATAAATGTCCACAGGATGTGTTAGAGGCCAGTTCAGCCTAGGACTGGCTAAGTGACTTCAGGTAAGTCCCTCCCTCTCTCTCAGGTAAGTTCCTATTTATCACATCTGTGGCCTGGGCAAGGGACCTCTGGGGACCTCCTGAACATGAACTTGAGCCTCTGACCCCTCCCCTCCTCTAATCTTTAACACACCAAGCCTCAGATGTGCAGGAACTCACCTGAGAAGACCCCACCCCAACAGCCCACTGCTAAGACACCAGCCCCCAAGAGCCATGTCCCCAGGGCCAGTTCCTGCCTGGCCCTCTCTGAGGCTCCTGGACCAGATTCCCCAGCCCCTCCACATGGCAGAGTTTCTCCTGGCTGTAAAGGTCAACTCAGAAGTGAAAATACAGCTGTAATATAGCTAAGGAAACTGGACTCCAAAGTTGGAGAGCCATAGGTTCCAACCCAACTCCTGCCATTCATGAGGTGGCCCCCTCCTGAGCCTCAGTTTCCCCACTTGCAGTATGAGTGTGATGACATCTCCTCATAACACAGGTTACTGTGAGAACGGAGCGAGATGAGCTATATAAAGCATCTGGCATTCAATAAATGTCACTTCCTTTTTCCTACAATAACAATAATAAAAACAAGAAAACAATGACCAAGAGGTCATGATTCCTGCAGCCTCGACCATTCATATCACAGCCAAAAGCCCAGAATAAAACCAGGGCC